ATCGTGTTTAAAATCATACAACTCTTTTATCTTGTTCAGTGTTGCATACGTTATTTCATCCGCTTTTTCTTCGTTACCAAAAAAATTAACGTTTATCTTACTGAAGGAACTATATTTAAAATCACCTTCTTGAGAAAAATTTTCATTGAAATGTTTCAATATATTGCGTGTAGAGGTGATTTTCTTTTGTATTGCTGTGGCTATTAATACATCTTCATCAGATCTACCTTGTCTTTGCACTGAATCAGGATGATATATTAAGCTGAGATTTTTAAGTTTATTGTCAACTTCTGCTTTAAAATATTCCCTGTGATCTTCGATGGACTTCTTGCCTTTTTTAACATCCCGTAAATTATCATCAAGGTCAGATAATAAGCTCTTTAACTCCAATAGCTTGAGCGTCTTTTCCAAAGTCATGCTATCTATTGTTGTTATGTCATCTTTCTTCTGTTCCTGTTCTTGCTCATCAATCAAAGCACTATTATCTTGAAACATTTTACCCCTCCTTTTCCACTTTAAAAAGTATACCAACATTAACAGCAGCAAAAGTGCCGCTAATTCTATGATTAATAATAAGACTATAAAAGCCATCTTGAGATTACTTACTGAGATTCATTGGACTAGATACCGTAAGTTGATCTACATGAGAATTTGGGTCTGTCTCAGAAGGCTTAGCTTCAGTGTGTGCGCTGTTATTAGAAGGGCCAGCTGGTTGTAATGCAGGATGTATATTCAAAAAACTAAGAAGCATATCAANTTTTGCTTGCGTTGCCTTTGCATCTCTATCCATTTTTGCTTGCATTTCATTTCTTCCTTGCTCCATTTTATTCATCAACTCTTGGTGTCTCTTTTCTGCTTCTTCTTTTGCGTTTATAGCCTGCTCTTGCGTTTGTATAAATTCCTCAATCATTTTGTTCCTTTCCAAGCGTATTTCAGCAAGTTGTTCATATAAATTCTTCATCTTATTAAGGAATTTCATCTGCACTTCAGTGATTCGATCAAAAATATCTTTTTCAGGTCGAAATTCTTTTTCTAGATAATTTGAGTATACCTCTATTACCTGAGCCAGCAGCTGCAATGCATCTTCTTCACCCAATAAATCAAAATTAATGTCCAAAAGTTCAGCAGCTAATTTTCTACTATCCTCATTTCCATAGCAATAATATGTTAAAAGATAGTGGGAAAGTTTATGTAATAATAAAAGATTGTCTGAATTTTTAGTAACTTCATTATCAGCCACAGTTTTACGTATTACCTCACTGCCTATCAAATAGTTCATACTTACAAAATAATTAAAACCCGGAATGCTGCTACTAATCCATCCACACCATGACATCTCCTTCGTTATTATTTTATTCCATATTTCATTACATATAACCAAGATGTTAACATACTCTATAAATGGTAAAGCAATATCCTTATCTGCTCGTTTGTAACTTTGTACATTACTAATGCAAGAAAGATATAGCCGATTTTCTGCATCATCGCGATTAATTGATGCTTGACGTTGCCACTGGCTTTGGGTTAAAAAATTCTTAACCTGAGTTAGTATACTACCCTGAATTTCATATTCCTTTAGCATCTGATCGGCAATGGCGTTCATGCAATTATCTTGTTTACACTGATCACGAAATGACTCCAAATGATTGAATAACATATAACAACCATTAAGGTAGTCCTTAAAATAACGTTCAGCATTAGATTTTTCTTTTAAGAAACAATCAAAATCATTTGCGATGAAACCTTTGATGCTAGCTTGGCTTGACCTTAAAAACCCATTTAGATTAAGTATAAAATTATCGTGTTTAAAATCATACAACCCCTTTATCTTGTTCAGTGTTGCATACGTTATTTCATTAATTTTTTCTTCGTTACCAAAAAAATTAACTTCTATCTTACTGAAA